TTTGTTCGACTGAGCCAAATAATCGCTGTGGTTATTTTTAATTTTATTTTGACCCTGATCTATTGCTGTCTTTTTGGGAATATTCGGTTTGTGAGTTCAGAAGTTGCCATTATGGCATGATGTGTGTTTACATGATTTTGGTGAAAAAATCATATTTATTATCCTCTCTTACTGAGAAAGACTAGAAGATTTTTTAAATCGAATTCAACAAATTAAAGAGAAAAGATTGCACATTTCAAGCTCCTACAGTAAACAAAATATGCACTAATTTATTTGTACAGTAAACATTCACAATTAGAGTTTCATTATGTTCAATATGTATTTGCATTGACAAGACTCTAATTTAAAAAATCAGGACTCAAAGTGCTGCCCTCAAGGCCCATTAGAATGATCATATTTAAGAGATGAATGCACATGAACGGCACCTGTATGTCAAATTAGGGGGGAAAAGATGATTCCAACTTCCTTTCATAATGCTTAACTAGTGCAAGCGGTGTAACATTGCTGTTGATCAGCGGTGTACATTCCTGCTCCTGGAGGGTCAACGTGCTTCAAAGTTTAAGCTTATAAATCGCTTATTGATAAAATGATAAAAATGCATATTCGCTATAAAATGGGTAGGTTTAGGTTTGGGGGTAGGTTAAGGGGTCTAAAAATCTAAATGAAAGTGACATGTGGCCAAGTATGTTGACCCATACTCGGAATTAGTGCCCATTAGGCCACGACTTCCCCCGTCGTGGAGGATCGCTTATTGATAAAATGATAAAAATGTATTGAAACGAATATCTTAAATGATATAAAAGATACGTAAATATTGTACTTTTTTTAGCTAAAAATACGTAGCGATTTGTACGTTTTAAACGTTGAAATACATCTAAATTGTACGTTTTAGCATCAATAAAAACGTACAAAATGTACATTTTGTGCTTGTAAATGTTACGTATTAATACCTACGTATAAACAATGAGACCAGGCTGATGAGACAGTAAGGTGTCCCATTCATCATTTAGGCTTTCACAAGGGTGTTCGCGAGCACCCACTTTACTTCACAAAAGTGAGGACTCGGAGGAAGGCTGCAAGGGTATAGGGTGCCATTTGGAACAAGGCCACACTTGTCTGGATGTTCCTAGTGAATCTGAAGACCTTGATTGGCTGCTTTAGGAGTGTTTAATTAGAGTTGGAGCTAAACTTCACAGGACATTAAACCTCCAGGAACAGGTTTAGACAGTCTTGGAGCCCCTACTTTCCTGCTTGGGGACGCTTCAGAAAACATGGTACTGGTCTTTTTAAACTGTTAATGCAACCGTATTCTCTACCATCAGACAACAAATACACAGGCGACTGCATCAACTACATAAAATGTACTCGCTGTTCATTTTGTTGCATTGATGCTACAAAAGCTCTCTGTCTTTATAAAGATATAGAAATGTCAGCATCTCTGGCTGTAGGTAAGGACATATACTGGGTGAGCATCTTCAATTCACTTGTATGCCTCTGGATTGTGGGAACTGCACCCAGAGGAAAGCCATGCAAACAGTGAGTGCATTCAAACTCTACACAGAAAGGCCTCCTGACTCAGCTAGGACTAAAATCACTTTATGACTTCCCAACCAATAAGCAAGGAAACCTTGACAGCAGCAAAAATCCCACTAGTAATTATGACACTGTGGTGTTCATGTGCATTAATTTCCTAAACATGATCATTCTGATATGACCTGAAAGTAGCATTAGACTGGGTTTCCAAATGCAAATACAAACTTTGACCAGTGCTAGATGGTTTCGGATCAGTATAAAGTGTTAATAAATATCAGCACTGCTGTGGAATGCAGGTGTGGAAACCTAACAGCCACCTCCTGTTTTAGAGCCGGTGTGGGATATTCCATTGGCTGTAATCTGCCTTTATGAGGTAATGGCACACAGCGCTACGCCCTCCTGATCAGCAGATAAGACAGAGACAGACCGGAAAGTGTAAAAATCCCTTTGATTCTCCCAATAACTCCACAGATGAAAAATATTGATAAGGTTGAAAATAGCTTTGGTTTTGGCTGCAGTCTGCATCTATTGTGGAGTCCTGCAGAGCGTGGTCACATTAAATATGTGACCTCTTGTTTGGATGGACTTGGTGACGGGGCAAGATTGGAGCATAATGGCGAGTTCCCGTGTTATTGTTTAACAGATATCCCACTGTCTTTGCGTTCTGTGCGGTACAGCAATAGATGAGTGGGAGGAAACCCGAGAGAGAAAAGTGAATGCTTCCATGAATAGCTATACTTTGGTGTCCCATTACTTTTAAAAACTCACGTTTTATAGTGGGAGCTATTAGATAAGTTAAACAAACTATCCCTGCATCCCAATGTGCATAATATTAATGCTAAAAAGTATGTGAGATTAGAATAAGTGTGTCCCAAAAGAATAGTATGTTAAAAAGGAGTAAATAGAGTTAGAAAGGTAGTTGTTAAGTTTAGGTATGGGGTGGATTACAGAATCTAAAATATGGTCCTGCAGAATAAGACATATAGTGCTTTAGAAGTACTAATAAACAGCCAATATGCATGTTAATAAACAACTAGTTTAAAGTGAGAATTGGTCCCTAAACTAAAGTGTTACCATTATTTTCATTGATTTAATTTACACACCTTCTTTTACTTACCTTCTTTAGGAAAACAGATGCATTTCAAATTAAGTTCAAGACTATTTTGTATTTTTATTTCATTAAAAGCGTTAAATCTTTGCTGCTACAGTGGAAAACAGAGCACCAAATTCCCTTAATCTAACCGAAAGTCCACAGTCCCTATTCACAGAGAGACAATGCTTGATAAAACAGCATTTGATGAGGTTCTTGGTGATCATTTGATCAGGGTTTCCAACCACAACTCCTCCAAGGTTTTTCCAGCAAGAGTCTGAAGCTGCTGTTACTCAGAGCTTTGTCTAACATTTGTCCATTCGGCTCAACAGTAAAATCTGCACATCAAATAAATATCTGGTGGGGTTGTGTTACCTTTGGAAAAAAGCCGATCAGATCATGGACAAGAGGAATTTGAGTGGGCAGATGTGTTAAAGATTGTAAACTCCAATGCAGATTTCTGGAGACCATTCTGAAAAAGAATACAACTTTAGCAAATGCTGCTTCAAAATATTGTCTGGGAAGATGCTTTCAACACTTGTGATCTTCTCTATTAAATAAGTTTTAGCTGTGTGAATATTGACTGGTATTACAACTATTCTTATGTTACAAAGCACAGGAAAACAAAAAGCTACACAACCGATGGCCTAAGAGCCATCTACCTAGACAGTATTTAAGGCGTCATAGATAGAGCATCACACCTAACGTGAAATTCTATTGGAATGAATTGTGAGTCAAGTGTGAGCCTCAGATCACTAATTGTATGACACCACAGTTGCTGCCTTTGTAGAGTGCTCCAAATCAGTCGCCACATGAAATGTAAATGATCTGAATGTTAAAGTTCCAAATTATTAGACATGATTCAAATGAGAGTTCATTAGAAACCACAGTGTTTTATCTTGACTAACATTCATAATTGCATTCTGTATTATTCATTTATATTGTCAACTTCACTCGCCATCCCAGCGGACAATTGGTGTTGAAAAGACACCATATTGACATCAAACATTGACATAAAAAAACAGGTCAAATATGCAAATCGAACTGACATCAAAAACTTGGCCTGACGTTGATTTGATGTAAATTGAACGTCAAACATATTGTCCTAAATATACATTAAACTAATTTCAGTGTGGGATTCACTTCCTATTTTCACCCAATTACCACTGGAAGAAATTGCCGTCAGAAAACTGAATTTAAAATGATAGTTCAGCATCTTGATCAAGTCTTGACTAATATTTGAAGTCAAATTTATATCATTTACCTGCAGATACTAGGTGAAAAGAACACCAGGCAGTAAAACACCAACAACTTTGGTTGCTTTTCACACAAATTATGATTATGGGGCAGACTGCCGATAAATACTTATTACGATAATACTTATTTTTGCGTGGCTTCTTGGACAATACAATGTTATGACTTCAAAACACTTTTACCATAGTGCATGATTTGCAAACTACATTTTAATGTTTGCATCACATAATCTGCTCCATATATATATTACTTTTTTTTTCACTCATTTTGCCTGAAGCTCACCTGGTACGGCGTTGCACTTGTGGAGCACTTTGGTAGAAGTCTGGTGAAACATGAACACTCCACAAAAAAGAACCAAAGTCTTGTACATGGAAGCTGCATGGTTACTTCAACAAATGTTTTTATTGCTCGCTTGCTTTTGTTAACACTATCGGTTAGGTTTAGTGTAGGTGGTGTGGTCATTTAAAACCCATCACAGAAATCTATCTATCTATCCATCCATCCATCCATCTAATATCCATCCAATATAACAGGGTAGTGGCTGCTAAAAACTGGGATTTGCCACCGCAGCTAAAAATGTAATTTAGAAATATATAAAAATAAAAGATTTTCAATTTCAAACAGTAAAAATACTTTACAATAGAAGAGATCTAAAACAATAATAACAACTGATATCAGAGGCAAATGACAGCCACATGGATCCTACTGTTAAATAATGCTATTAAAGCTGATGTGTATAATTGTCTGTGCTGAAATACTGGTTAACATGTGGAGTCAGTGTGAGTAAGCCAGTGCTGTAGTTTGTCTTCTTGAAGAGTGTAAACACTGTGACTGTTTGAGCAGCCTGACATGTCAACTTCTGACTCAGTCAGTTGTGTGAGTTTGGGGCGGGACCAGTCGTTTGCCAGATGACAGATGGAGGTGCAAGTGTTTGGGAAACTTGTTTCTCATGCTTATTATTTCTGCAATTCCATTTAGCTCCACTAGTAGCACAGAAATTCAGCACAGATTCACCTTTAACTGAAGCCAACAACAATGCAAAGTCCGGGGTTTTGCGAAACAATGTCATATTTAATTATAATGATAATAAAAAAAGAAAAAAAAAAAAGAGATGTTTTTCACAGACGAACATTATAATTAACAACGAATCCAACAACAACAACCAAAACAAAATAAATACAATGACTTGGTACATAAATATGGCTTAAAAAAGTGGCACATCAGACGAGTGCAGCATGAAAACAGCGGTGAGTGAGGATAAGGATGGTCGTGTGTGTATCAGGAAGGGCTTGCCTTACAAGTCTGCATGAGGACATAAATGAATGGCCTGATATCATCCACTACCTATACAGCGAGAGAGAGAGACACAGGGATTGTGATTATGATGTGTTGAATGAAACATGGGTTTTAACTAGTGCATTAAACATTTTTTTAAAACAACATATCCAAGCCTCAAGCATATTTTTAAAGATCACACCACAGGACCATTACATTGTAGCAATGGGGAATTCATTTTTATGAAAGCCTGGACTTACTGTGTAGAAAACGTGCCGGTTAAATAATCATGGATGAAGTTAATCTAAATTAGGTTTTGGTTGTAACCGGTGACTTTTCATTGTTTTTTTTTTATATTTAGTGTACTATTGAGGACTGGTCAATAGCTTACCAGAAAATAGTTGGTTTATGAGATGTGGTTTGTGCTTGCAAACTGTACTTCCCAGTATTTTATATAATTATTATCATAACTACAAAAACTACTCGTCACAAAAACAGAATCATAAAACACATAAATAAAAACGCACATAATGCGCAACCTCTTCATTGCGTTGCATTAGCGCTAAAACAGCTCGCTGTCAGTATAGCCAAGTTTCCATCCAAGAAGTTTGTTTTTGCGGAAACCGATTCAGCGCATCAAAATATTTACTGATGCAGCAGATGGAAATGCTGACTATCATTAAAATTTCACAACACAATCTTTGGTCACACTTTAGCATGGGACCAATTCTCACTATTAACTAACTATTAATTATGACTTTTGTCTCAATAAACTCATAATTTGCTGCTTATTAATAGTTAGTAAGGTAGTTAAGTTTAGGTATCATGTAGAATTAAGGCATCTAAAATATGGTCATGCAGAATAATGCATTAATATGTGTTTTATAAGTACTAATAAACAGCCAAAATGCTAGTAGTTAATAGTGAGATTTTTTTTTACTGCATAAATTCTGTGTTAATTCCTAAAATGCCTGTATGTTGCTCCCATTAAAGCTGGTTTCTTATTTTAATTTTTGATACGCCTAAACATATACACCAATTAATTTTTCTTAAAGAATTACGTTATTACGCACACCATTACATTGGATGGAAACAGGCTGGAGACAGCAAATTTTATACTTAGCTTAATTTTGACACAGTTTCACTTATAACAGAACAGTGCACAAAGTGGATAGAAACTTGCCTATGTCAGAAAGTGAAAAAGAGAGAAATGTGAAATTATATTATAGTCCAGCATGTCTATAATATTCTGATCAAAATCACTTAAACACACGCATGCGTCATGATACTCTCGTGAACGCAGGTCGAAGACTGACACGGAAGAGAAGAAATTGTTGAATAAAGTCATTATTTTCGTTTTCTTTGCTGACAAAAAGTATTCTCGTAGCTTCATAAAATCACGGTTGAACCACTGATGTCACATGGACTATTTTTATCGATGTCCTTATTATTACCCTTCTGGACCTTGAACGTGGTAGTTGCCTTGCTGTCTATGGGAGGTTCAGAGAGCTCTCGGATTTCATCAAAAATATCTTAATTTGTGTTCCGAAGATGAACGAAGGCCTTATGGGTTTGGAACGACATGAGGGTGAGTAACTAATGACAGAATTTTCCTTTTTTGGGTGAACTACGCCTTTAAAATCCCTCTCGGGTTGTCAGATGAGACCCACCACTGTTTACACCTGCTACTAACATTATATGACTGTGAGTTTATCACTCTTAGTATAAAACAAGTAAGAAAGTGGGAAAAATTTCAACTGAATGTAGTCTCTCAGATTTCAGAGGCAATTTCAAACTTTTTTTTTGTAATGGTAACCAGTGAAGGGACTGCATTGGCTAACACTGGTACAGAGCATGAACTGTGTTTACACCTGTATATAGCAAAAAACGGATGTTAATACCAGGTGTGAACGTGGACAGACAGAAACCAGTCTGGAATGCTTGCTCTTTCTCAGGCTGCACCAGCAGACAATATTTAATCAGTAACCAGTTAACAATTAGAGTGAAAGAGGAAATGAGCATCAACCAGCGGCCACATCTGACACATGACAGTTTGTTTGGGGTGGGGGTTCACATGGTCTCTTTATCTGGTCTGGTGATGGTCTCAGGCTCAGTCAACACATCCACAGTCTGTTCACTGACCATCTAATAAAACTAGAAAGCACGGTAACACTTTAGTATAGGGACCAATGCTCACTATTAACTAGTTGCTTATCAGCATGCCTATTATTAACATATTGGGTGTTTATTAGTGCTTATAAAGCGCATATACTGCATGACCACATTCTACATCACTAATCCTACCCAATACCTAATCTTAACAACTACCTTACTAACTATTAATAAGCAGCAAATTAGGAGTTTATTGAGACATGGTTTGTTAACAGCGAGAATTGGACCTTAAAATAAAGTGTGACTGAAAGCACTTATGAACACCACAAGCTCCAATCAGACTGTTATGCAGCATTTTGGCATCAGGTTTCACAGGTTTACTTTGTATGATCTCTGAAACGGCCTGTAAAAACAAACTGCAGTTGGTCCTTTTGTCTATCAGTAATTACAGTGTTTCTATACTGCAAACTTGGACAAAGATAGCAGAGGGGTGTCTTGTGCGCTTGTCATATTTGTGGACAATCATTCTGACAGAGCACAAATGCCTGTGCATTTTAAAACATGAGTGCATATATAAATAGACAATGCACAGCTGACATGAAGCTGGATTAATTGTGTGTGTGAAAGCATGTCCAGGTCCTCACCTCCTGATGTGACTAGCATCTAGCTGCTCCTGTAAGACTGACGCTCTCTTCTGCAGGAAGCTGACCTGCAGAATAAACAGCAAAATCATCTACACGTGCAAGCATTCCCAGAGCATTATGGGCTAGTTCTCTGGTGAAGAGTATGAGCTCAACAGAAATTAATATATAAGCAGCCCACAGGATTCTGAATGGTAAACCCACAACTGTTAGGCCAAACTGTCAGACCAGATCAATGTACTCTACTTTTAAAGGGCTCATGCCATGAGAATCTGAATCGTCCTTGATCTTTGGAAATAAAAGACTTCAATGTGCTATTAAAACATACTGTAATGCTCAGAACTCCAAATGTCCTCCCAGCCTATAAAAGAGCATTTACTAAAAACGGCTCATTCAGAACTTTCACAACTTTTTGACCTCAATCAGATGAATACATTAACACATCAATGACACCCACTGGGAGTTCAGAAACTTTATCTGCCTACTATCAGTGAAAAAAAAATACATGATTCATGCAACCGCACAATTGCTTTTACCATGTGCTATTGTGTAACAATAGTGAGTAGCAAAAATGTATGTCAATACAGCAACCGTAGCTCCGCTGCGAGCAAATGTGATTCTTTATGAAAATAGTTGTTTTTGTGTAACTATTTGGTTACACTTTATTTCGATAGTCCACATTAGACATTCTATTAACTATAAGTAACTTTGTAACTACATGTCAACTACATGTCAACTAATTCTCATTAATTTGCAACTACATGTCTACTAACTCTCAGAGTAGACTGTTAGGGTAGGTTTAGGGTTAGTAGAATGTTGACAAAGAAAGTGTTAGAAGATATTAAGCAGACAGTCTACTAATACGCTACTAACTGCTAGTTGACATGTAGTTGCAAAGTTACTTACTGTTAATAGAATGTCTAAAGTGGACTATCGAAATAAAGTGTAACCAAATAGTTTCTCGTAAAAAGAAATACACTTGGTTGATTCTGGCTTTTTTAATTTTGCACGAGCCTGAAAAGAATGTACATTGTTCTGCGACGATTTTCCTGGAAACCAAGATACACAAAGCAAACCTCAGAGCAAATCTAATGTTACCATCCTTGCAAATGCATGCCTCTGACTCTGAAAAGAATGACTATGGTTAGATTCCTAAACGGCCACTGGCTTTGTTGAAATAATGCACTGCTATGTGCAATGCTCGAAATATTCAAGGACAGAGGAGGCCACGCTGGTCACCAATTACAACGCATAAACATATCAGATCACAGAGCTGTGGCTGCGATTCTGAAAGAATCTAGTCGGAGCTATTCAGAGGCGTGCGCCGGGGCTTTGAACTGGGATCTCGAAATGTTGTTTGAGGGGCCCCGGACCATGCCTGACAAAGAGGGGCTATTGTTTAGATTTGAAATGTTTAAAAAATGCTCTTCCCCAAGACTCGTGTAGAACAAGGCTGACTGTAACTAATAAGGCCCTGGCCGGAGCCCTTGAAGCCTGTATTAATGTGGTTGGCTGGTGTAATTGCACATAAGGAGATGAACTGGACCAGAGACTTCAAAGACCCGTGGCCAAATTAGATCCATGTCTATGGAGGAACTTGCAGGACTTGTTACCCCCTCCCCTTCCCAAGAAACCAAATAAACAAGAGCCACTTGAGTTCAAAGACGTGAGGTCTGACTGCTCGTCATTATTAGATGAGGGACAGGAAGCTGCGATGGCATACAAGACATCAAATGTGGAGGTACTGAAGTGAAGTGGACTGATCACAAACACAGAGGTGCAGGACTTCATACGAGGGGCTGAAAACCTAGCTTGTGTTCGAGTTTTGGTGTAAAATGCACTCCACACATCAACAACGTTTGACTTTTAAGAGCGGTTTGGAGACTATAAAACAAATGATACAGAAACCATCAAATACTTTATCATTTACAGTAGAACTAATGTGCTGGGTCTGTAATTTTGGTAACACTTTATTTTAAGGACCAATTCTCACTATTAACTAGCTGCTTATTAGCATGCCTATTACTAGCATATTAGCTGTTTATTAGTGCTTATAAAGCACATATTAATGCCTTATTCTGCATGATTATAGTTTAGATCCCTTAATCCAATCCCATACTAAACTTAACAACTACCTAACTAATAAGCAGCAAATAAGGAGTTGTTCAGGGAAAACTCTTAGTAAATATGTGTTCCCTATTCTAAAGTGTTACTGTAATTTTGATTTGTTAGTGCTCATAATATACAGAACACTGAAACTAGACCTTAATTTCAAAGCGGAAGCTCCAAACAATGGCAAATGCAATAAGATCTCACTGCTTCACAAATGCTTCACTGTTTTTTGCAACCCATTGGAAATATGTGACTCCTATATGTGGCTACATTTCTGCAAAACTTGAAATACATTGTTCCGGGTACATTTCACTGCACTTTTTTTAGGTGACATGCCCACAATAAGCGGTTTAAATGATATCCCAGTGTTATGAAAAAAAAACTGCTTGTGGATACATATTTGCAAAATGATATTGAGTTGCCTGTAGCATGTTTCACAGCTGTTTCAAAATTAAATCTTCTTTGACTGCCACCAATTAGCATGTTCAATTTTCTCCAAAACAGTTAAAGGTAACTGTGCCAACAGTTTATTATGTTGGTTAATGCATATGTCATGGCAGTCTGGAAATGAAATGTCCGGTAAGTGGCGATAAAGTGTATAGTGTATAGTTATAGTGTAAATAACTACACTAATCCCTACCCTAAACCTAACCGATAATCTTAACAAAGCAAACATGAGATAAAGAAGAATTTGCTGAAGCAACCATGCCATTTTAGCACACTTCTATGTGCTCTAAGCTTTTTTCTGGAGTGTTGTGACTCGTGTTTTACAGGACTCGTACCCCACATCGCAAATGCAGCACTATGCTTTATTACAGAAGACAACCATATATGTGACCTGGACCACAAAACCAGTCTTAAGTGTCAATTGTTCAAAATATAAATGAATAAATAAGCTTTCCATTGATGTATGGTTTGTTAGGATAGGACAATATTTGGCCGAGATACAACTATTTGAAAATCTGGAATCTGAGGGTGCAAAAAAATCTAAATATTGAGAAAATCGCCTTTAAAGCTGTCCAAATGAAGTTCTTAGCAATGCATATTACTAATCAAAAATTAAGTTTTAATATATTTACAGTAGGAAATTTACAAAATATCTTCATGGAACATGATCTTTACTTAATATCCTAATTATTTTTGGCATAAAAGAAAAATCTATAATTTTGACCAATACAATGTATTTTCGGCTATTGCTACAAATATACCCCAGCGACTTAAGACTGGTTTTGTGGTCCAGGATCACATATATAGAGCTGGATATTTGATGCAAATGTATTAGTTTACAAGTCACGCACTATGGTAAAAGTATGTAATCATGCGTGAAAAGGAAGAAAAGTTGGTACATAGGTACTTTTTTGCAGTTTTGCAGAAATGTAGCCAGAGTCACGTATTTCCAATGAGCCTGGGTTGGTTTTTTTCAGCGATTTATGTGTTTAGCGTGTGAGGTCTAGAGCAGCTGAGTCTTCAAGCTTTGTTTTGGATGTGGTTGGGGTGCTAGTTGTTCTCATAGCTGTTGGGAGTCGATTCCGCTACTGAAGAACGAAGACCAGAAGTACCATGATCTGGACAAGCTCATCATGTTAAGAAAAGAGAGGGTTATGTGGCCAGAATTAGTTAATTGTAGCCAGGCTGGGATAAGCTGTTTGAAGAAGCATTGATGTAAACCACTGGCTGTTGTGTTTTGTCAATTGCAGGCAATGAGGAGACTTTCAGTGACATGAGGTGTCTTTATGGTCCTGCTTCTTTACTTCTAAACTGCTTGTCCTGTGTATGGTCACAGGAATGCTGGAGCCTCTCTTAACGTCTCGGGCCGTAGACAGGAAAACACCATGGATGGATGGCCGGTCTATCACAGGGTTCTTCTTACATTGTACCTCTTAACTGCACTGTACTGTCTTTTACGAATAAAAAAAATTATGAACTTTTTACTGAAACACCAACATGAAAATTAAAGTTTTCATTTAGCTGAAAACCAAAAGCAAAAATAAAATTAATTTAATAATCAGTTATTTAATCAAATTTATTTAATAGTCAACGCTTAAATAAAAAATGAGCTGTACAATCATTTAAATTGCACTTGAGGTGGTTTTTATATAAACTTTTTAATGTTTCTGCTCAAATTTTTTGTTATATAAACATTTAAATGGTGGCTGTAACAAAAAACTTGTTTTAATGACAGATTTATTCAAACAAATGTTAAGTAAAAACATAATGAATATGTTAAACAGTGCACTGTACTGAAAAAAACAGGTGTAAAAATTTATTTTTTTAGAAATTGCGGTAACCCTTTAGTATAGGGACCAATTCTTACAATTAACTAGTTGCTTATCAGCATGTCTATTATTAACATATTGGCTGTTTATTAGTACTTATAAAGCACATATTCTGCATGACCATATTCTACATCACTAATCCTACCCAATACCTAAACTTAACAACTACCTTACTAACTATTAATAAGCAGCAAATTAAGAGTTAATTGAAGCAAAAGTTGTAGTTAATGGTTTGTTAATATCGAGAGTTGGACCTTAAAATAAAATGTGACCAAAATTGCTTGTAAATTTCACAAATGATTACAAAGAAACACCAAGTAACACTGAATTAAACATATTTTTATTGAATGTTTAGTGAAGTTTTGTTCACGCATTAACAGAAAACAGCATAGACTAAAAGATTTTGAGATGTAAGAATCCATATCGGTATCAGTTAAAATACTTCACATACTAATCAAACTGTCTGTGTTTATTTTGCGATAATGACTGACGTACTTATGCAATTCCCTGGCTGCCGAGTCATTTCCCCGGACTGCTTGCAGGAAGCAGGGTCACCAATCAAATCTGCCAGCGTCCAGTCAGTGGGTTCCCCTTGCAGTTGGATATTTTATCTCCCTTTTCACACGTTAATCATTTTTAAAAACATTTTCTGTTGATTTTCTTTAACAAAAATAAACCCCTTTCCGAATGCTGATGCACCACTCAATGCATTTATTTTCGCTTAGCCCATAGTTGCTTTGCATCAAAATAACGGCCACTTTAAGGTCAAATTCTCGCTATTAACAAACCATTAAAGGTGGGGTTAGCGATTTTTCAAAAACGCTTTAGAAAACTGATTCGGGCCGACTAGAATTTGTCGTGTCGCGCTGCGCCACATCCAGTGTAGACAGCATCACTGATTATAATGAGTTCTATAGTATTTTGTCGCGCCGCGCCACTCGCGTCCGGTGTAGACACGGTGTAACATTGGTTTTGCTTTGTTTCACAGAACTAGCCTGGTTTGCGAACGTATGTGTGGGGTGGAGCTATCAAAATAGGGGCGAGACCCTTTTGGGGTAGGGCCGTGTTTGTTTTGGTGATTTCAAATGTCAACATTGGCAACCAGAAATCGCTTACCCCACCTTTAACTACGACTTTTGCCTAGAAAAACTACTAATGTGCTGCTTATTAATAGTTAGTAAGGCAGTTGTTAAGTTTAGGTATTGGATAGGATTAGCGATGTAGAATATGGTCATGCAGAATACGTGCTTTATAAGTACTAATAAACAACCAATATGTTAAAAACAGGCATGCTAATAAGCAACTATACTAAAGTGTTACCAAAATAACAATAATCTATGAGTGCTGTGCAGACATAAGCAGTAGCTTGCTGAAGCAGTATCACGAACAAACCACTGGCAATGACCAATCAGCATCAAGGACTAGAACTATCCATTCTATAATGCACATAATCCTGTATATATAAGTGCTCCAGGTGTGTTTATGAATCTGTTGCGGTCGAGTCCATTTATATGAAATTACGCAATGTCCAGATGTGCCTGTGCTAGTGGTTTTTCTGACCTGCCTTACAAAAATAAATTAAAACACTAACATATGTTTGTTTATGTGTGTCCAGTGGGAGCTCTTGTGGCGTGCGTATTTGTTTGATCACCTGTGACTTCAGCGAGGTGATGGTGTCCTCCAGCTCCTGCTGCAGCTCTGCGGGAATCAGGCCTTTGATCTTCGACTCACTCTCCTGACGGACGTGTGTGATCTACATGAGGAGAGAGGGAAGAGTTTAAAAATGTTCCGCTTCTATCAGACTGTCAAACACCGTGGTCAC